GGAGTTGGCTTCCGAGAGTTTACAAACTCTCAGTGAACAGGTCCTTTTTGTCAAATGACCAATTTTAGGTACTTCCTCCGTCCGAAAATATGAGCGGGTCTCTAACTTAAAGTTGTCCGAAAATATAAGCGGTAAGTTCGGTTTAGTTACCGGTAAATTGAGCTCATTCAACGATTCGCGATGGAAGGAGGACACGGTGCTCATGGAGGCGATTCCCCCTCTCCAGAAGAAGACTCTGCGGCTGACCCTCTTGGCAAGGCTCTTACTGAGAAGGCACCTCGCTTGGTGTGGACTGATTCTCGTCTGCGTACTCTCCTCCACCTCCGTTTGATTGCGTACGGTGATCAATTTAACAAACACAAGAGCAGAGCGCAACTGACTGTACTGTGGAGCCGTGTGGTCCGTCGTTTTAACAAGCAGCATGAAACCAAGGCCGTTGTAGATCAGTTACGTAACAAACTCAATGCTATGAAGGCGTTGTTCGGCCAGATCCGCGCCGACGAGGCTACTACGGGAAACTTGGAAAAAGCGGTGAAGTATCCGAGCTACTGGTCAGTGCTCGTCGAGTTTTTTGCTGATAAAAAGGGGCTGCGTAACCACGATTTCGGTCAATCGCAGGTGCCCCTACCTCCATTTAGGGCCGAAGGATCCGACGACGAAGCTGTGGTTTACGATAGAGGTGCCAGTGGTGGCGACAATGCATGCAGTGAGATGTACGACGAGTCGTCTTCTGACGAAGCTGGTGATGCACATGCCGAAGCTGTGGAAATGGAGAAAGAACGCCATAATATCATGAGAAAGCGTCCAAATAGATCTTCCAGAGGCTTTGGTATCGATGGGTTCTCTCATTGCCAAAGCGATGACAGTTCCCGATTCCAATACTGACGCAGGTGCTATTTCCGTGCAACTCAAGGAAATTCAAGAAACCCAAAATAAAATGGTGCAAGCGCTCGAGAATTCGGCAAACGTGAACGCTCAGTTACTGCACTTTCTTCAAAGTAAAATGGGCTAGTTGGATGAAATATATTTCGCGTACAGCTGGTCTCTAATTCTATTTCTCTTTGCGTCTCCTCTTACATCGTCGGCTTCTAAGCGTTCGTCATCTAAATGAAGCAGCATCCACGATTCAATCTCGCAATCCTTGCTGTCTTTTGTCATACGTGATCGGGTATGGGGTCATAATCTGCTTCATTAGTTTGTAACCAGCGTCGCCGAGATAATGTGTGGATTCCGGTAATTTTGTAGCTTATTCTTGCCCAAAGCGAGATCTGTTAAGTACAGATTGGTCATTTTGTGCTCCATTGCGGATGGAAAACGCAATAAATCAAAGCTGATTGTCCACAACAGCCATCAAATTGAAAGCAGGAAACCCTTTTCTACAGTAAAACCCTTCAAAATCGTCGAAACGCTTGATTGGGATCAGTGTACCATCGATGGCACCGACTACACCAGGAAACCCAAGCATATCTTGAAACCCTTGTATCACCTCCGCTATCTCGTCGTCCGTGGACGGTAATCGAATAGTCTCTGACGAAAACGATGTCACCACATGAACAACTTGGCGAATAAAAAGTAGTGCTTGCGTTTTGCCAGCGCTAACAATCTGTCCAGCCGCGTATGCACTGCCGCCGTGAGTGACATAATAAAAGGCCACCGCCACTCGATCTCTAATAGGAAAATGTGCGTTATGGCGAGGGGCTGGGCGTACGCTCGGCCATCTCTGCTCGATACGGGATACAATAGCCAGGAAAGTTGCACGATTGCACCGAAAATTCACTGGAAACCAGCCGTCTGCAAATATGGGGTCATCTAGAACTCGCTGCCATGATGTGTTCCGTACGGAGAAGCGTCGGGAAGGTTTCCTGGGCCATCGACGCTTGTCACTGGCAAGAGTAGCCTTTGCAGCAAATACAAGGGAGAGCGCAGCCAATTTTCTCCCCTTCATGTGTGATCTCTTTCTTTAAAAGACCAACCTGTGGTCTTTTTTTTAAGAGATAACCGAAAATCAGTCGGCCAATCAGGTCCAAGAAAGCTATTTAATTTTTTGCTCTTTTTGTACTCCGACCTCCCCCTTACGCAATTAACCAATTGTTTGTTCTAGTTGCATATTTTAGTAGCGTTGCAAATGATCAAATGCAAAATGCACATACCTGTACTGAAACAAAGTTAGTATACAATGGGCCGGTTCACACTGCCCAAATCCGGCATAATGTATACACATCCACTCCCAGGATGGAATCCCGGAGCTATTCCGGGACATACAAACTCTGGCATGTGCATACCAGCTGCCCCCAAAAAATTTACACTAGCAGGTGGTTTGCATTTGCTAGAGTTTGTACATGTATGTATGCCCCGGAATAGCTCCGGGATTCCATCCCGGGAGTGGATATGTATACACTATTCCTGATCCGAATATACCGTTAATTCTACTGTACAGTGCGTATCAGTAATTTTTTCAGCGTTTCCACATTTTTACGCTGAGATTTGTTCTGAGTAAATTTTCGTTTTAGCTAAAGTTATTTTTTACAAGCTCTAAAATCATGGCTTTGGTCGCTGCTGCTGCGGGCGACATGCGCCTCGTGCGTCGCACACTCTCCAGTGGCTGCGATCTAAATGCAGTAAACAGCCAGGGGGACTCGGCTTTGATGGTGGCAGCGAAGAAGAACCACGTTGAAGTGATGACACTCCTGCTGGTTAGTGGCGTCGACGTGGACTTGAGACGCTCGGACGGCACGACGGCGCTGCACTTGGCGATTGCCAGTCAACATCCTCGCGCTGCCAAATTATTGATCGACTTTGACGCGGACGCTGCTATTGCCACTAACGCCGGCGTGACACCACTATTACTGGCCGCGGAAAATGGTCTCTCTAAAGTGATCAAACTATTGGTCAAAGTAGCACCGCAGTCCGTGCGTACTGCATCCCAGGACGGCTCCAACGTGCTTACCATCGCAGCTCAAGCTGGTCAAGTTGAAGCTGTCAGAATGTTTCTAGATGCAGGCGTACCAGTTGATCTAAGCAGCGGAGCTGGACGAACTCCGCTCATGTTCGCAGCTACGAAAAACCAAGTGGAGGTGATGAGACTGTTGCTATCGAACGGTGCGTTGCCAAACAAGACGTCAAAAGACGGCAACACAGTTTTGACTATTGCCGCTGAAGGAGGCCACGTCGAAGCCGTTCGTTTTCTGCTGAGTCATGGCGCCAGAATGGACAGAAGTGAGTGTCCAGAAATGACGGCCGTGGCAGCAGCGGCACAGAATGGACACGTGGAAGTGATCAAGTTGCTGCTACAGAATCATGCAGATATCAATGCCCACGACGACGATTGGGACTCGGCTCTACATGAAGCTGTGTATGGAGGCCAGTTGGAAGCTGCACGAGCTTTGGTCGACGCCAACCCTAGCGCTGATGTGAATAAACGCAATCGGAGTGGCTGGACACCGCTGATGGCGGCAACACATCGGAATTTCGTAGATATTATCGAGTTATTAATTCGGAAAGGAGCTGCGCTCAACATGAAGACAAATGATGGCCGCACTGCGCTTCATGTCGCGGCAGAAGAAGGTCACACGGCGGCGATTCGAGTAGCGGTGCCTTAGTGGACGCAGCAGACCGGATGAACAGCACACCGTTAATGATGGCAGCATACCGTGGGAACAGGATGCAGTACAGCTATTGCTAGATAATGGAGCGAGTTTGGTTCGAACCGACACTGGGACCAAACGCCCTTGAAGTGGCACTCTCCAACAGCAAGATTGAAATTGCTACGCTGTTAGTTTACAGCGAATCACGCAGTCGAAATGGACGCAGACGTGCAGAATCACCAGCAACAAAACGTCAAACGAAGAGACAGCGAGCAGCAAACATTAGTCCGTAAACGTGGAGGTAGGCTTAACAGATAAAACAACTTGATATTATTAACCGCATCGTAAAAACAGTTATGTTTATTCTATAATTCTGTACAAGTATTTTAAAAAATATCTGGTGGTGACAAAGAGATCAATTCAATACCGTACTGGTTACTTCCTGCCCGCAATCAGGATATGAAAAACAAAAGGCAAAGTTTTCAATGTTTGTCACGCTGCTACCTTAGCATCGGCCGTTGTCTTCACCCCGTTAGCTCATGCCGAGTAGCATCGCCAGCCTGACACAGTACAGTAGTCGAATAAGAACCAAGCTGGTCATAGGATACATACTCCTTTTGGTCTTTGGTCGGCTGTATTTAAGTCCCTATACGAACAAACACGGGGCTCCTCGTCGAAGAGTATGTGACAGAGGGCGTTTATGGCAAGTGCATGTACGACGCATGTGTACAGTGTAGCAGCAAGCTGTCTTTCCTCGGCTTGATTCAAATCAAGCGGGCGCCAATCGAAAAGTTATCGAGGTGAGTAACTTAGCTTTCCTTGATGAGGCTCGAGCCGTATCTGTACAACAATTTTCGAATGGTGACAATTCATCGAGATATTAATAGTGCTGCTCTTTAGGAACCGGAGTCTTGACGAGACTCGACGAGACTCTCGACGAGAGAGTCTCTCGTCGGGTCTGGTCCCACACACAAAGCCTCGAACTTATCCTTCCCAACGGTTCTGTACGAGAGTGACCCCACGGCGTGGCGAAAGCTACGCGGGACTCCGCTCAAGTCTTGAAGGCTTGAGAAAACCTCAACTGGATCTGAAAGTGGCTTTCGTTCGCAAGTATTGAAGCAACCCACCACGACGGTTATTGTTTGTGGCAGCGCAATACTGCAGAATCTGCAGTGCAGATTGCAAATTGCCCACGCCAGCGCCTGGAAACCTTGAAGGAGCCGGCACTTGAGTGATAAACTTGTAGCGGCCTGTCGGTAGGCAAGCCAAGTTTCCGAGTTCCTAAAGGCTCTGCGGTTACTGAGTCCCTATCTTGCACTTGGCGTCACCGAAAATCGGATGGTGCAAAGGCCCCCTGCACCGCCTCTATTGATCGCTATTATACAAGAAGACTGTTCGCCGTTTCTCCTCCACAGTGCTGCGATTTTGCCTTTGCCATCAATCGGTTGTTATCCGATGCAGTGATTGTACATGTATCACATTAACGCCCCGTTCACTTGATGATCGAGCCAAACATCCATGCTGAGCAGCAAAACCCATTCTTCGAAATTCTCGAAAGGACAAAGCTCGTGGTACAGTCGGGCTCGTCGTCCGATTGCAAGTGTTCTGTGCAGAAAGGGAGGGCAACAGAGTTGCAACATCAGTACAACTGTAGCGAAATGACCGCAGTATTTTAACAGCTGATGTCTTATTTTTTCTATGAGTGTCCGACTAGATGGCAGCTGTCATTAGCACTTCTGAACCCGGCTCGGCGCTGCGCACCCAGCTCTCCCGCCTCCACACAGCCGCAGATCGACCGTGCGAGAACTGCACAGCCCAGCGACGGACCACGCGCGCTGATTTCAGTGCGACGGACGCTCGTTGGCGCACACAATCGAATCCCCCCGTGGGTTGAGAGCGCTTCTCCCTTTGTGTAGTTCTCATTACGGTAGCCGTCGTCTGGAATGAGTGCTGGGGCTGTCATCGGTATCATCGCGGGTGTGCTCGTGCTGGGCGTCGCCGGTTTCTTCGTCTACCGCTACGTTAACTCCCAGCAGCAGACCGACGAGAAGCAATTCATGCAAGACTATCCAGTGTCCAAGGTCACCACCACGGAGCCCAATCAAATGTCCGACACCCATTCACAGAACACCCCAACCGAGTACGACTTCACCACGTTGGACGCGCCATCCACCAAGGCCACTCCTGATCCGCTAGCGTCATCGATCGCCATGCTACACGCTGTGCCCGGCGCCTCGCCTAGTCCGTCACAGGAACCCACCCGGTACAATTTCGACCCTGCGCAGTCCACAGTCAACGGCGCTGCTCCATCGACGTCGCCTTTTAATAAAAAGGACTCAGTGCAGGCTTCGCGTCCTAGTAACACGAACTTTGATGCCCACTCCATGGAGTTCAACGCAGCGCCCGGTAGCTACGCCGAGTCGTACACTGAATCGTACGCCGGTTCGTTTGCAGGTTCCATGGCCGGCTCATACGCCAACTCGTTCTCGGGAACGTACAATGGTCAGGGAGTGCTCAACTCGTTCGATGGAAGCGTGGACGATTTTGGACGTGATACAGTGGGGACGACAGTGTCTGAGGCTCTCGATCGTCAGAGCGAGGTGCCAGATGGAGAACAGTCTCACTGGATGGACGACATGCGCGGTACTAACGACAGCTACGCTATGCTCGAGTCAGGATCGTTCGACCGCACGTCGGCGCTCTCACGTTTCTCCACCGACTCGGACCTCACAGGCCGCCCCACGCAGTCCTAAGCCAGAGTGTTGAAAGGAAGGAAGAGGAGGTGTATCTATAGTAACTGGTTAGGCGTGTCCACCGCTCAAACGGTGAGCAGCAGTGAAGCAAAAGTTTTGAATGCCATGAGTGAATATCAAGTGCAACACTGCAATACCCATTTTTAGAGTTTTGATAAAAAAGGGTGAAAAACGATTAGTGACCTTGCAACTATGTATTCGGAGTTAGAGATTTCACCGGACTCTATTTGCTTGCCGATTGCTTATCGACGAGCTAGACCCCCACGCTTGGGGAGCGGGAAGTGGAGTGGCACGGAAAGCACAGCACGATAAATCTGCTTCTTAGATGCCAGCGACGCCGCACCGCCGTAGACGGCAGCGTCCGCCTTGGCCTTCTCGACGACACAGCCGAGTTGGCGAGCGTATGCCTGAATGTGGATGGAAGATTTCTTGAGATCGTTGCCAACCTCCGTGAGATCCAAAGTGAAGCCATTCACACTAAGTGCCACCACGATGAGGTGCAGACTGAGTTTGTCCTTCATAGCCTTGGACTGGAAATACGATGGGTAGCCATTGTCGCCCTCGCTGATATCCGTAAAGAGCTTCAACAAGTGACGTACAATCACAAGTGGAATGCCCTTTTCCTCACTGAATACGGCGGCCGATTTACGCAGAGGGAAGCGCGAGTTGTAGAAGTCGATCATGTAGGCCAGGTACACGACGAGGCACATTTTGTTCACGTCGTACGGCGCAGGCAGAGACAGCATCAGCCGTGTAGGCAGCGACGCAAGGTTCAAACTAGCGGCATACTCAGCCACACTAGCAGTCTGCAAGGCCTGGATAACCTCCTCAGCCATGATGGTCAACGAGTCCATAACGTTGTTATCCATAACTGAAAAGCCACATTGCACATATCAGTTAAAAGTTTAAAAAATAAAATATGACAGACTTGCAGCTTACACTTGGTGAGGTCGTAGACGCGGTCGGGTGTAGGAGCATCCACATCGCACGGCGGCAGGAGAGCATTACGGGTAGCAGCGAGCGCCGCTCCCTCCTTCGTGTAGCTTCCGTCCTGTGCACGTTCCTCCTCGAGCTTGCGTTGCGCGGCCGAGATCTTCTTCTGCAGGGTTTGAGACACCGACGCAGCGCCACTGATGTTCTCGAGGTTAACAATGTTCTCTTCGCGGTTCTTCTGCATACGTTTGCTCTTCTTGCTACCGAAAACTTCAACGAGATCGCGACGCTGCTCCATGAAGCTCTTGTCTTCTCCACGGTTGTCATCCACGTTCTCAGACGCGTTCTTGATGGCCTGTTGCATGACATAGACCTGGTTCACATTGCACAGTCGGACCTCCTTGGTCTTCCTGTCGTACACGCCCACCGCATAATTGGCGAAGTCGTGGCTGGAGCCCAAGTAGCCGAAGTTGGCACCTTGATACGCCACTTTTTCGGAGCTGGCGATGACCAGACGCTGCTTCTTTGCTGGGTTCTCAAACACCTCGAAGGCCAAGTCCTTTCGCTGGTTCGGAGGCGGCGGGCCGTTGCGGAATGTCGCTGTAACAATTGGTTAAATGTGACAATTAGGTCAGAATAACGGCGCTGCAAAGGTGTCTATGGCGACAAAACATACCAACGACGGGAGCTGTGCTGTCAAAAGCCTCTTGGTGCTGGAGATGCACCTTGACGCGCTTGCTCATGCTGGTTCTTGGTGCAATTGCTGGTGTGTGCGCGACACTGTCTCGATTGGCTGGAACTCCGTAAGGCATAACAGCTCGTTTATTCGCTAAGAAGAACTTTTAAGAATCGTTGCTACTGGTTCAAAATAATTATTAGATTCGACCAATCCCGTTGTGAGGGAGTCACGATCAGATACAAATTGCGATGAGTACGGATGCTAGCGCTGCGGACGGCGGCATGACGTCGTGCCTCAATCTCATGCGTCGCATGCCGCCTCGTGAGGTGGAGACGGACGTGTACAACCTTACGCGCCTTGTTCCTTCCATCGCAGACGAGCTGTACCAACGCGTGGATCAGCCGCTTCAGGTGGCTGTGGACCCTGCCAACGGCCGCAAATATCTCCTCTGCGACTACAACCGCGACGGTGACTCGTATCGCTCCCCGTGGACCAATCAATACGACCCTCCAGCAAGCGATGGCGAAGGTTTCTTCCCGTCCGAGACGCTACGTGAGCTGGAGGTGCATGCCAACGAAATCTTCGACTCGTACCGTGAACTGTACTATCAAGGTGGCATCTCGTCCGTCTATATGTGGGACTTGGAACTTGGTTTTGCAGCCTGTTTTCTCGTCAAAAAGGACGTTTTAGACCAAAGATTCATCGAGAAAGGGGAATGGAACTCTATCCACGTAATTGAAGTGCAGGAGGGCAGCGACGTGCTTGACAAAGGCGTCAAGAAGGCCACGTACCGCCTTACAACGTCTGTGTTGCTGTCTATGAAGGTCAATCGCCCTGAACTGGGCGACCTGACACTGGATGGAACACTCACGAGACAGGCAGAGCGCACTATGGAGTTTGAAGATCAATTTGCCCACGTGTCCAACATGGGCCGCATGGTCGAGGACATGGAGATCGACATGCGCTCCAGTCTAGATGGTCTGTATATCTCTAAGACTCGTGAAGTGATCAATGGCATGCGTAAATTGCAACAAGGACCCGCCATGGCGAACCCTTTTGTCGGTGAACTAAACAGCGCTGTGCTCAAGCACGGGCAGAAGAAGCAACAGGAGTAGAAACTCTTTTTTTTTCAATGAAACGTTGGCAATAATTGCCACAGCACTTCCAGTAAGTCACTTACTGGGGCCTATTTCCCGCTGAACGCGGTCTTCAGCATCACCTAACCAGCACTTTTATTTTGATTCGCCGCTCATTAGGCATTCAGTGCACGGAATATCTGTCAAACCGTTTTCGAAATGACCCTGCCGCGACTTAGGGAGGACCTAACAGCCGAAACTCAGAGTTGAATTCTTATCGATAGCATGCGAGGTATGTCGCATTGGCGAGTCCAACGATATTGAGACTAACGTACAACATTTTGAGCACCAAGGTGCTGCCTATAATGATCCTCCCACAACTCCACGTTATTGTTGTCGGCGACAACACTGAAAATTCCGACGCTACATAGCTCCTCTACCAGTCGTTTACTGTGACGTCACATTGTTCAAAAGGGCCAGGAGCAAATGATGACCACGCTTCTTGAGTTTTTTTTTGAGGAGAATAACCTCAAGAGTAATGCTCTTAAGGTTTTTCGATTCCACCTCACTATCAACTTAGGCACGAGAGGACGATAATATTGCGCGTCGTGCTCATTATCAACCGATCCTATTGGCTAAAAAGATGTTACTGAAATATTTCATGACGCAGAAGAATATATCCCCCTGATCAACAAGATGGTGCTAACCCGAGCGCAGGCCAGAACACAAGCGACGGCGCAGCAACAAGAGACTCTTGAAGCGGTCATGGTCGTTGTAGATCATAGCGACGAGACCGCAGTGGCTGAGGTGGTGGCAGAACGATCTACCGTCGAGCTTGTCCCGCATGTTCAAGACTGTTTGGCTAAGCTTGCAGAGTATTTTCTTACTCAAACACAGGCCCTCGCTGAAGGGCACGCATTTATGCAGATCCAGCTCGAAGGCCAAGGCGCAGCCCAAAGTTCCGCTCTGCTGCTGTTCGAGAATCCACAGATGCCGGCATTAAACAGCTAGCCAATCAACAACTGACAATCACAGGCCGATTTCACGAAGAGCTGATGGCGACACACGCTGGTATTCGCGAGCAATTCTTGCGGCTAGAAACAATGCAAGCTAACGTCGGAGAGGAAATAGAAAGATCTGTGGCGGACAGGCTATTTCGTGCACTTCGGGAGGCCCATAGCGAGTCGCAGTCGATGATTGCCGCTCAGGTAGACGGTGTCGCTTGAGTGGAGCAGCAGCTTGACGCGAAAATTGGCAGTGGCTTCCAGGTCCTTACCTCACACATCCACCAACTTGTCGAGGAGAAGATAGCAACGCACCAAGCGAGTACTATAGAAATGACAATCGAAATGGCGCAGCAGCTTGTAAAAAATCTACAACACAGATGAAGGATCACCTTGAGAGATCGTTCGAGCTGGGCTTTAATTTTCGGCGCGTGATGATTTGAAACAGGAGCTTACTTCAAACACGATCACTTCAGACGGAACTTCGCATGACGCTGTCAAGAGCTTCGTGCTGGAAGAAATTGAGATATCAAAGCGCCACTTCGAAGCTCAAGTGCAGTAAGCTTTAATATCTACTCAGTCTGATCTTAACCTTCAAGCTCAACGTCAAGCCGATGCGGTCTCAATTCTACGAGAAAAATACAGCAGCATTGCGATCGTGTACCTGAAATACGTGATATGGTAGATGAAGCTGAGGCCTGCAACACAATAAAGGAGCTTGTGAAAAAAGAAGTGGAGAAGCGTATGGAACTTGTGCAGCTCCAGCTTCTGACTGCCCATCCACAAACAGGAAGGTGCACGGAAATTAGCGATATCAAGGTGGAGCATGACGTGACAGGGTAGGTCGGCCAACGTCTTACCGAGGTACGGATAGACGATATTTCCGAGTAGACAAAGCAAACGGTGGAGAATGGTGTGAAGCTGATACACGATCTCGTTCGCGAGGCCATCCGCCGTTACGCATGTGTGAGCGACGATACTGGAGATGGATCGGGTGACGTTGGAGATGAGAGACGAGATTTATCCTAAAGCAGATCGCAGTATCAGCACGAATGCAGATACTCTTGTCAAGGCGCATGCATCAGCTTACGTCTCAGCTTTCGAAGTAAGAGTTCCTAATGATGACGA